TATAGCTAGACTACTCTCCTTCACACTCCATGGGCTAGTTGGGTTTTTGGCTCAGATACACATATGCAGGCATAAACGCATACACACACACCGGCATACACACACACACACACGCACGCACAGGCATACACACGCCCAGGCATGCAGACACTCACACACACACAGGGTGAAGTCTAACAAAGGTCAGCACTTTCACAGCTGATTGCTGGTGGCAGGCAGCCCCCACACAAACACAAGGAAAGGGACATTCAAGACTTCTGTCGGAAACACAAGTTAAGCACTTGACTCCATAACAGCTTTGTCACTCTGATACCCAACGAGGCGTCCGTTTGTCCTGCCGACACTGCATGTTGCTACTTCATTATGTAACGGGACTAAGGCAAGGTCTGTCTGAGTCGATTTATCGCTATTGGTTAGCTCTTTAGGACTTGTTACTTAACAGTGACCTTGTGCCTGGACCCACTCCCTGGGTCACTCCTATTTGCATACCGCCCCAACAGATCCACAGATGATGCAATCTCAATTGCACTTCACACTGCCCTCTCCCACCTGGACAAGAGGGGAAATAACTATGTGAGAATGCTGTTTATAGACTACAGCTCAGTGTTCAACACCATAGTCCCCTCCAAAGCTCATCACCAAGCTAGGGACCCTGGGACTGAACACCTTCCTCTGCAATTGGATCCTGGACTTCCTGACGGGTCGGCCCCAGGAGGTGAGGGTAGGTAAGAACACCTCCGCCACGCTGACCCCCAACACGGGGGGCCCCTCAGGGGTGTGTGCTTAGTACCCTCCTGTACTCCCTGTTCACCCACGACTGCGTGGCCACGCACGACTCCAATACCATCAAGTTTGCTAACGACACAACGGTGGTAGGCCTGATCACCGATGGCGATGAGACAGGGAGGAGGTCAGAGACTTAGCAGTGTGGTGCCAGGACAACAACCTCAACGTCAGTAAGACCAAGGAGCTGATCGTGGACTATAGGAGAAAGAGGGGAGTGCGGCCAGTCTATTAGGTACACCCATCTAGTACCGGCTCGGACCCCCCTTTGCCTCCGGAACAACCTGAATTCTTTGGGGCATGAATTCTACAAGGTGTCAAACATTTGTTGCTGAATTGGTATCAAAGGACCTAACGTGTGTCAGGAAAACATTCCCCACACCAGTACACCACCGCCACCAGCCTGTATCAGGCAGGATGGGTCCATGGACTCATGCTGCTGACGCCAAATCCTAACTCTGCCATCAACATGACTCAACAGGAACTGGGATTCGTCGGACCAGGCGACGGTTTACCAGTCCTCAATTGTCCGGTGTTGGTGATCGCATGCCCACTGGAGCAGCTTCTTCTTGTTTTTAGCTGATGGGAATTGAACCCGGTGTGCTCATCTGCTGCAATAGCCCATCCATGACAAGGATCAATGAGTTGTGCGTTCCGAGATGCCGTTATGCACACCACTGTTGTACTGCGCTGTTATTTGCCTGGTTGTGGCCCGCCTGTTAGCTTGCACAATTCTTGCCATTCTCCTTCGACCTCTCATCAATAAGCTGTTTTCGCCCACAGGACTGCTGCTGACTGGATGTTTTTTGTTTGTCGCACCATTCTCGGTAAACCCTAGACACTGTCGTGCGTGAAAAGCCCATGAGGGCGGCCGTTTCTGAGATACTGGATCCGGCGCGCCTGGCACCGATCATACCACGCTCAAAGTCGCTTAGGTCACTCATTTTGCCCATTCTAACGTTCAATCGAACAGTAACTGGATGCCTGTCTGTCTGCTTTCTATAGCAAGCCACAGCGAAGTGACTCACTGTCTGTAGGAGCGATCCATTTTCGTGAACAGGGTGGGGTGTACACTACATACACATACACACTTTTACACTCATCATTTGCTGCTGCTGTTCTTTATTTTACTTGTATTATCTACTCTGATAGCTAGTCACATTACCCTGACTTCATGTACATACTGTATCTACCTCAAATACCTCATACCTCTGCACATTGAGCTGGTACTGGTACTCTCTGTATATAGCTCCATTCTTGTGTATTTTATTTTGTTCCTCTTGTTACTATTTTCATTTTTATTGGTATTATTATTATTTTATTCTGTATCATTTGGAAGGGCATGTAAGCAAGCATTTCAAGGTAAAGCATACAGTCGTGGTCAAAAGTTTTGAGAATGACAAGTATTGGTCTTCACAAAGTTTGCTGCTTCAGTGTTTTTAGATATTTTTGTCAGATGTTACTATGGTGTACTGAAGTATAATTACAAGCATTCCATAAGTGTCAAAGGCTTTTATTGACAATTACATTAAGTTAATGCGAAGAGTCAATATTTGCAGTGTTGACCCTTCTTTTTCAAGACCTCTGCAATCTGCCCTGGCATGCTGTCAATTAACTTCTGGGCCACATCCTGACTGATGGCAGCCCATTCTTGCATAATCAATGCTTGGAGTTTGTCAGAATTTGTGGGATTTTGTTTGTCCACCCGCCTCTTGAGGATTGACCACAAATCCTCAATGGGATTAAGGTCTGGGGAGTTTCCTGGCCATGGACCCAAAATGTCGATGTTTTGTTCCCCAAGCCACTTAGTTATCACTTTTGCCTTATGGCAAGGTGCTCCATCATGCTGGAAAAGGCATTGGTCGTCATCAAACTGTTCTTGAATGGTTGGGAGAAGTTGCTCTTGGAGGATGTGTTGGTACCATTCTTTATTCATGGCTGTGTTCTTAGGCAAAATTGTGAGTGAGCCCAGTCCCTTGGCTGAGAAGCAACCCCACAAATGAATGGTCTCAGGATGCTTTACTGTTGGCATGACACAGGACTGATGGTAGCGCTCACCTTGTCTTCTCCGGACAAGCTTTTTTCCGGATGCCCCAAACAATCGGAAAGGGGATTCATCAGAGAAAATGACTTTACCCCAGTCCTCAGCAGTCCAATCCCTGTACCTTTTGCAGAATATCAGTCTGTCCCTGATGTTTTTCCTGGAGAGAAGTAGCTTCCTCACTGCCCTTCTTGACACCAGGCCGTCCTCCAAAAGTCTTCGCCTCACTGTGCGTGCAGATGCACTCACACCTGCCTGCTGCCATTGCTGAGCAAGCTCTGCACTGGTAGTGCCCCAATCCCGCAGCTGAATCAACTTTAGGAGACGGTCCTGGCGCTTGCTGGACTTTCTTGGGCACCCTGAAGCCTTCTTCACAACAATTGAACCTCTCTCCTTGAAGTTCTTGATGATCCGATAAATGGTTGATTTAGGTGCAATCTTACTAGCAGCAATATCCTTGCCTGTGAAGCCCTTTTTGTGCAAAGCAATGATGACAGCATGTGTTTCCTTGCAGGTAACCATGGTTAACAGAGGAAGAACAATGATTTCAAGCACCACCCTCCTTTTAAAGCTTCCAGTCTGTTATTCCAACTCAATCAGCATGACAGAGTGATCTCCAGCCTTGTCCTCGTCAACACTCTCACCTGTGTTAACGAGAGAATCACTGACATGATGTCAGCTGGTCCTTTTGTGGCAGGGCTGAAATGCAGTGGAAATGTTTTTTTGGGATTAAGTTCATCTTTATGGCAAAGAGGGACTTTGCAATTCATCTGATCACTCTTCATAACATTCTGGAGTATATGCAAATTGCTTTCATAAAAACTGAGGCAGCAGACTTTGTGAAAATTAATATGTGTCATTCTCAAAACTTTTGACCACGACTGTACACCAGTTGTATTTGCCGCTTGTGACAAATACAATTTGAGTTGATTTGTCTGCCCTATATATGTTTGGTAGATAAACTTCTTCCTATCATAGTTCTAGCTCTAGTCTACTTGCCTTTTCCTGTGCTGTACTAGGATGCAGGGAGAGAGGGATCGCATGTGTGCTTTCATTGGAGAATGCTGAATGGTTAGAGGGGCAGAGCGAGCGTACAGGAGGTTTCATGGCTAATTAATGCTAGTGAGACAGAGGCAGATGCACAATCTCTACAGTGGGATTTATGTGAGGGAGAGTCACTACTGTGCTGTACATTGAAAAGTTTTCTAGATGATTAATGATGTGTGTGTGTGTGTGCACCCAGCACTGTGTGTTAGGGTAAAGAGGGTTAGCGAATGTGCGTGTAGTGTTCCTGTCCTGAGGTTTCATGGGTAATTCATGATAGAGGGAGGAAGAGGGGAGGAGAAAGGGAGGTACTGTAACTCCACAGTAACATAGTAACACTATCCGGATTGGGGTGCACCTGGCCTCTACTCGGCATCATCTTTCTCTCTTGCCAGCGTGCTGTATCTCTATTTCTCTCTCTGTGTATCTCACTGTGTATCTTTTTTAATTTCCCCTCTTTCTCTGTGTGTCTGTAGTGAGGTGTGTGTGTGTGTGTGTGTGTGTGTGTCAGTCATGGAGGATGCCCTCAGGGTCTGTTCTATCAGCTGTGTGTCAGGTCTGGTGCCAGGCCAGCCTAGTGCAGCTCAGACAGCAGCAGCCAATGGCTGGCCTCGCTCCTCTGCTCCGCCTCACAGAACTCTGGGGAGGAGGAGGCCGCTAGGAAGGGGAGCACTCAGAGTGCTGAGAGGGCAAAAAGACACGCACACTTGTGCATACACATGCACTGCATTAGCCCATTAACACACACACACACAAAGCTGTTGCATATGCACAAGCCCATGCAAAAGCACACGCACTTTCACACATATATATATATATATATATATACACACACACACACACACAGACAGTGAACGCTCCTTCAGTTCTCTGTCTTGCTGGAAGGCCTTTGTTGCTCCCTTGAGGAGCGTTCAGTCTCCTGCACTAAAACGAACAGAAATTTAGTTTGTTAATTTCATGTCCACCAAAAGGGCTGACTCACTACCATTTTAAATGTGTTAAAGCCGCGTCTGACACATCCTGAAACACTGACCATGGGACACAGTGGTGTCGCGTGAAAAGTTGACCGCCTACAGTACAGCAATACAGTGAATGTAAAATAACATGCTAAGTTGTTTGTTGTGTTTCGTAGATTAATGTGCGGGTGACCACCATGGACGCAGAGCTGGAGTTTGCCATCCAGCCCAACACCACCGGCAAACAGCTCTTTGACCAGGTAAGCAAGGGCCTGGACTCAATACATGCTGAGATTTCACATAACTTAATAAAACCTAATAGAACTGTAGTATGAAACATCTCATGGAAGATCAAGTGGGTGCTTGACATTGGTCCTGGATGAGGATAATTCCTCCCTTACTTTGTTAGTATTATCATGGAAGATCAATCAGTCTTTTGATATACACAGTCCTGATTGACATGTGTAGTCAGTTACTGTTGTCATAGTATCAGTACTGTTCTCCTGTCATAATGGTGCAGCTTTACTGTGACTGACAGCCATGCCGTAGCAGCACGGACCCCCCATGGAGGGTTTCCCCTGCATCCATATCCACCCATTGCAGTATTGATGTCCCTGGCTGAAATATTCATATGATATAAACATCTAGCTAGCTGGGGTAAAACTGGGGCCTGCCCTGGTCCTATGGTTCATGCAAAGGATTTGTCCCACGAGGGCCACCTCAATGGGTTGAGAGTGGAGACAATGTCCCCAATGAATTACATCGTTGTCATGGTTATACTGAAGCTTCAGAGCTTTGAGGGTGCATTGAAGGTCTTTGAAAGACAGACTGTTTTCGGGATCTTTATAGTTAGCTAGATTCGTTCTGCAACTTCTCAGCCGGACACTGGAGGATGATGATGATGATGATGTAATGTCCAAGCCTAATTTCTATCCCTGTTGAGGTTCCAATGAGCCTGTGAATCTACTCTGTAACACATGTTAACAATATCACCTTGGACAAGAAACAGTACCAGAGCATTTGCTCACAAACAGAAGCTGGAGAGTGTTTAGGAGGGCTGAAGAACTGTAGTGAATGAGACCATTGACATGTGCAGGCAGGTGGCGACTGTCCTGGACTGTGTCCAGCTGTCTTCTCACACTTCAGTGTGTGTTTTGTATTCCCAGTGTACACACAGTCCATTTCCAGGGATTCAGCAGGAGTTATGGCCGTCCGCCTCTTTGCCTTCCTCAGCAGTAACAGGCAGAGTGAATCTAAGTAGCTTGTTGCTGCGTGTCGACTGGCTGGCCTATTAGTCACCCTCCCAGAGTTTAATGGCGAGTCCAGGGCCCATTATGGAGAAGTTATGCCACAGTGGGCCAATCGCTTACGAGGAGCCTCCAGTCAAGCAGAGGCTAAAACGTACCATCACGCCCCTCTTAATCTCAATTAAACCTGCATTGCAGTATTTATTTACACTGTAGCGTGTGAGCCTAACTTTCATCCTAGTCACATAAAATCTGAAAACGTTGTCATTAAACAAATGCTTGCTAGCATGTTGCATTCAATATGACTTTTCACGTGAGAAATGTATGACTTTCTCAGTAATCCCACCCTCCAAACTGTTTAATGGTGGAGTATTGTCTGATGATGTTAACAGGTGGTGAAGACGGTGGGGCTTCGAGAGGTCTGGTTCTTCGGACTGCAGTACGTGGACAGCAAGGGTTACAGCACATGGCTGAAGCTTAATAAAAAGGTGAGTCCTCTCTCATTCGCTCTTGTGTTTTCTCTTGGTTTCTCTATCTCTTCTCTCCCACTCTCTCTCTCTGTTTCCAGAGCGGCTGCCAGCAGGCAGTCAGTTTGAGCTGGTTATTAGGCTGCGGTCAGGGGGCCTCAGATGTGCACTTTCACAGGCTTCCTGTCACACTCAGGCCAAAGACCCTCCGACCAAAAAATAACTGCTCTGAAGTGCCGTAAAAGACAGAGCGGGGGGGGGGGGGGAGTGTGAGTGTGTCAGTGTGTGTGTGTGTGTGTGTGTTTCTTGTTGGAACTAGTCCAGTAGTCGTAGAGCAGTGTGGTTCTGTCAGGGTGATCTACAACAGGATTTCTTTTTAACAGTTGTCTCCAGTGGAAAGTATTCTGATTCTAGGCCCCGGAGTCTGGGATGTAAGCGGCTGTAAAAAGGGTCCAATCCTATCACTAATTAGGACAAGATTAGATAATAGAAGTTTGTTCATACCTTTATGGCTTCATAACCAACTTCTATGATTTACCTTTATAGCCCAGCTTATAAAGCTTAGATTGTAAAGCTTCCGGATACTCCAAGTATCTCAATAATCAAAGACGGATGCTTACTGTGCATGCATCTTAGCCAGCCACGTTTTCCCCTGTCAATGCAGATAAGGGAGAAGAGACTAGGCGATCGAAGGCATTTCAGACTACTGAGACTCGTCTAGTCTACCTCTAGTGGTCTTGTTGTGTCTGTACAGGGCTTTAAGTGTGTTGTCCTTGTCCCCTCCAGGTGACAGCCCAGGACGTAAAGAAGGAGAACCCTCTGCAGTTTAAGTTCCGGGCCAAGTTCTTCCCTGAGGACGTGTCTGAGGAGCTGATCCAGGAGATCACACAGAGACTCTTTTTCCTGCAGGTAACTGACTCTAGCTGTGTTCGAATACTCAAACTAACCGCACTAACCTTACTATTTGTGACGTAAATTGAGAATGTAGTATGCTTATTGGTCATAGTATGGATATATTTAGTATGCCAGAAGTTCCCGGATGTCGTACTACATTCGCCAAAATACAAAGTGTACAAGCAGTGGACACTATTTTCATGCTTTTCCTCAGAAAATGGGCATGGCTTCACAACATTTTCAGATTTGAAGAAAATGGCAGAAAATATGCAGCCAAAGTCCAATGAGAGCGGATACAAATTGATTGCTTTAACTAATTATGACAAATGTTAAGAAATGTTGAGCAATGTAATAATTAATTTTTCAAATAAGTTACGTTGGCTGACAATTTGTTAGGTACGCTAGCCTTACAGCATATAAATACAGCAGGTGCTTGTATGTACCGGTATGTTAGCTATCTGCATAACGTTAGTTGGCTACTATTACATCGAACTTGCCAGTATATTAACTATATGCTATCTAACTTAACGACCCAACGTTTATTGACTTGATTATTCATGTCATGCTTAGCTAAGTGTATAGTCGTTGTGCGTTCTCAATTGACATTGTTAATGAGGTCGTAAGATGTCTAGCTAGTAATTAATAACAAGCTGGGGGGGGGGTGCTGGTCTAGGATTCTAAGTCATCAGTATTCTAAGTCTTGACAGTCAAAAACAGACATACTCGTAGTATCTTAATGCCAAATCCTTCCTAGGTTCAGTACTCAGTGGGCGAGGTGAGGTCACATGACCAATACTTTATATTTCTCTCTTTCTGTTTTCCTCTCTCCTTTTGGCTTCTCTGACCAGGTGAAGGAGGCCATTTTGAACGATGAAAACTACTGTCCCCCGGAGACTGCCGTGCTGCTGGCATCCTACTCTGTCCAGGCCAAGTACGCCGACTACAACAAAGACAGCCACAAGCCTGGCTACCTCACCAACGACAGACTGCTGCCACAGAGGTGAGTGGCCAATGCCCAGAAGCAGGGATATAATGGAGTCATGCACCATCCACATACTAACAAGGAATCCTATGTTTGTTCTCTCCCAGAATGTTTTTTTGATATCCTCTGGAATGTTCTATGTTGTGTAGAGTCCTGGAGCAGCACAAGCTCACAAAGGAGCAGTGGGAGGACAGGATACAGACCTGGCATGAGGAGCACAGAGGCATGCTCAGGTCTGTGTGGTTTCCTTCTGTCTTTCTCTGTGTTTGTTTGGGAGGGTTATTGGGAGAGGTGTTTGTCTCGTAGAGGAGAAAATTGGCCTCTTTTCTGAATGGTTCCCCACAGCGAGACATTTCAATGTCAGAAACGTGACGATGATGTGTGTTTCCCCCAGAGAGGACTCTATGATGGAGTACCTGAAGATAGCTCAAGACCTGGAGATGTACGGAGTCAACTACTTTGAGATCAAGAACAAGAAGGGGACAGAGCTGTGGCTGGGAGTGGACGCCCTGGGACTCAACATCTACGAACACGAAGACAAGTCAGTCTCACACTACTACTACTACTACTACTACAGCTATATCAACTATGGCTGGCCCTATTGGAAATCTACTGTTAAACTACATACTGTAATGATAATCAATGTTGAATCAGATTTAGCCTAGTTGTACTACTTTACAAACTCTACTTGGTGAGTGTTGGGGTGAATGAAAGATGTCCAAGAAGGAAAGAGAGTAAGGGAAGGTGGAATACATGTTATTTTTAGCAGTAGAGGAGGGAGGGGTGGGGGAAGAGTTACAGTGGGGTCTGTTCCTCTTCCTGTCTTCCTCCCATTCGACGATGGGACACGACTGTGACACGGCTTTCACATGGTTTCCTGTCCTGCCACTCAGACCATTCCCTTTCCTCTCCCTACTGACCTCAGATCAGCTGGTAGACAATAATGCAGTGCCAATCTCTTGAGTAGAGACTTGCATTGGCAGGATGGAAATCTGATCACAGATCAGTATAATATACAGCAATTGACTTGGATTGGAAGTCTCTCGCCTATCATTGTTATCTGCTGGCAGCTTTTATAGCACAATATTTTCCACCCCAAAATATAACTTAATATTGAATACTGTCTGTGTGCATCAATTACCAAATATCAAAAATGTCCCCCAGACTGACACCAAAGATCGGCTTCCCCTGGAGCGAGATCCGAAACATCTCCTTCAACGACAAGAAGTTTGTCATCAAACCCATCGACAAGAAAGCTCCAGTAAGTCTCCCTTTGTCTGATTTCCTTTAAGGTCCCAAAACAACAAGATGTGAAGGCACATATCCTTTTTTACAGAACATTTAAGTAGTAGTGAATTATACTTATCAAATTCTCTGTTGTCAAACATGGCAATCTCATGGTCTATCCAGCCATCCTTTCTGTTTTCCCTAAACCCTGTCTCCTGTGTCCCTGTAGGACTTTGTGTTCTACGCGCCGCGGTTGCGGATCAACAAGCGTATCCTGGCTCTGTGTATGGGGAACCACGAGCTGTACATGAGGAGGAGGAAGCCTGACACCATCGAGGTGCAGCAGATGAAGGCCCAGGCCAGAGAAGAGAAACACCACAAACAGCAGGAGAGGTACAGGAGGAACATGCACACAGAGACACACACACAACTTCTGACGATACCACCAGATCAGCACCACTAGAGGGCAGTATTAGACTGTCTGTATATAAATTGCTATATGTTGACAGAAATGAAAGCATATGTAGAGAGATACATGTCATAGCAGGTATGTTGTATATTTGAACCTTTCTAACAAACAACCATATCACCTTTTCAGAATATTTGGGTGACATTGACTTTAAAACTAAGATGTCATATGAATGATCCAGAGTTTTGATATTACATATAGACATTAAAAAGACATAATGTACAATACATTGCCATGTCAGTTTGATACTCTGGACATTACAGTACACTTCTAATAAGATACAAAGTCAGTATTAATGAGGATGAAAAACACACCTATATAGTTCTTGGTTGTAAGGGTTCATTTCATAGCGGTTAGATGAGATATCCCTTCATCAATTCCTGACAGAGCCCAGCTGGAGAACGAGAAGAAGAAACGAGAGCATGCAGAGAAAGAGAAGGAGAGAATAGAGCGAGAGAAGGACGAGCTGATGGAGAGACTGAGGCAGATCGAGGATCAGACGATGAGGGCCCAGAAAGGTATCAGTCTGCCTCTTCCCACAGCTCCCTTGATTTTCAACCCACAAACCTTCTTACTCTCTTCCCACAGCTCCCCTGATTTTCAACCCACTAACCTTCCTCCTCTCTTCCCACAGCTCCCCTGACCTTCAACTCACAAACCTTCCTCCTCTCTTCCCGCAGCTCCCCTGACCTTCAACACACTAACCTTCCTTCTCTCTTCCCGCAGCTCCCCTGATCTTCAACCCACTAACTTTCCTTCTCTCTTCCCACAGCTCCCCTGAACTTCAACCCACTAACTTTCCTTCTCTCTTCCCACAGCTCCCCTGACCTTCAACCCACTAACTTTCCTTCTCTCTTCCCACAGCTCCCCTGAACTTCAACCCACTAACTTTCCTCCTCTCTCTACTAGTGTAGACACCCTATAAGGTCAGATTCATTCAGCCTTCATGCAATATCTACCCCTCTTATTTGCCATAGAGAATTAGATATTAACTTTGTCTTTAAAATCTTTATTGTCCCAGGGCAATATCAGGTGCAAATGTTGCACTGCTGCAAATGCTACGTAAACCTGTCTCTGTCCTCACCTGGAGTGTTTTCATGGTGTTGATATGATGTGGGCCCTACGTGGGGCTGTTGGTTGGTCAGTGTCAGTCAGTATGCCAATGGGACCTGACCCTATCCTTCTAGACTGGTCCTCACTGCACCACGGTACTAAACTATCATCTCTTACTTCTTATAGGACTGTTCTCAGCACCAGGTAAACATTAAGTCCACTCAGAAACACTTCTTTAACTCCCTCCCAACCCTACCACCTGAACTTATAGAAGAGGTGTTTCTGACCCCCCCCTCTATGTACTCCCCAACCCACCCTGCATTAGACCCCAGTGTATCCTGAATACCGTAGGATGACATCCCGCATTTATTGCCTTGCTGCATTGTGGGTAGTCCGAGGTGTCAAAAGCACACTGCAGAAAGTACATTGTGATATGTGTTTGTCTGTGGACAGGATGTATGTATGAACCCCAAACACAGAGCTGTCAGTCCAACACACACATTGTGTTCCAGTGGTTTAGACTGACTTGGGTGGCGTGTTTGTGTGTTGAGAGAGCGAGACATCCATCTTATATTCTTTTTGTTCCGTACTGTTTTTACTGTTGTGTGTGTGGGTCCTCTCTCACTTTTTATAGGCATTTCCTGTCTGCATTATATATTTTTTCCTTTGTTGTTGTTCTTAAAGTAAATCACATTATTTGTGAGATCATGGCTAACCGAGCCTCCCATTGGTCACATTGTAAAAAATGGTGTGTGCTGCTGGATATGGTTTGAGGAAGAAGGAAAGAGAAGGGGTAGGTTTTTTTATTTTTTTACGGGCTAACAGACTTGATGTATTTTGTTCATGGTCACAGAGTTGGAGGAGCAGACACGCCGGGCCCTGGGGCTGGAGCAGGAGCGGAAGAGAGCGAGGGAGGAGGCGGGGAGGCTGGAGAAGGAGAGAGAAGCAGCGGAGGAGGCCAAGGCAGAGCTGGCCAGGCAGGCCGCAGACCAGATGAAGAACCAGGAACAACTGGCCGCTGAGCTGGGCGAGTTCACCGCCAAAATAGCCCTGCTGGAGGAGGCCAAGAGGAAAAAGGAAGAGGAGGCCACTGAATGGCAGCAGAAGGTAACGACCTCCCTACATTCTACACTGTCCTGGTTACAATATAGACTATATAGAATATACTGTATATAATCAGTCTGTTGTACTGAAACGTTCTATATCGTTGCAGCTTCCTGAATAAGTCCCATAACTCACCCGCACTCCTCTTCTCCCTCCCTCCCTCCCTCTCTCCCCAGGCCATCTCAGCCCAGGACGACCTGGAGAAGACCAAGGAGGAGCTGAAGACCGTGATGACGATCCCGTTTGCGCCAGCGGGCGGCTCCACGGAGAGCGAGCACGAGGAGCAGGACGAGAACCACGCCGAGGACGCTGCCGAGCTCTCCCTTGAGGGCGTGAGCGCCCTGGACCTGCGCAGCGAGGAGGAGCGCGTCACCGAGGCCCAGAAGAACGAGCGCCTCAAGAAACAGCTGCAGGTCAGTCACCTCTGACCTCTAACCCCAAGACCTGATGACCTCAGCAGGCCCTTACCTTAAAGGGCTTTGTTTAGTTGCTGGATGGCGTTTAATGTCATTGAGAGGTTTCAATCAATCAACCCTCTCTCTCCCTCTCTCTGCCCCCCTTTCTCCATCTCTACCCTCTCCCTTTCTCTCCTCCCCTAGGTGTTGAGCTCAGAGCTGGCTGAAGCCATAGACGACACCATGAAGACTCAGAATGACATGCTGCACGCGGAGAACGTGAAGGCCGGGAGGGACAAGTACAAGACCCTGCGTCAGATCCGCCTGGGCAACACCAAGCAGCGCATCGACGAGTTTGAGTCAATGTGATCTGGCCTGGGTTCCCCCATCCGTCCATTGGCGACTCGCTTTTCGTCAACAACAGGCGCTGTCCCTCCTACACTTCCCCCTTTTCCCCGTACTGATACCCGCAAAGGTTTTCGAGGGCACGGCCGCCACCGCCTCAAACTTTGCCAAAGCTCTGCCCGCATCTCCATCAGGAATCGCCCAATCGGGCGCAAGCAATGCTTTGCACCGTTCCGAAAGTGCTATTCTCCTTGTATTGCAAAGAATACGTCTGTGCTTGGCTTTCAAATATCTAATGTGGAGACTCAAGAAAAACCTAAATGGGAAAGATTGGACTTTTAAGCGAACATGGCCATGGGAAGCTTTTTTGTTGTTGTTCTTGCCGGTAAGCTAGTATGCAATGCTTTAGTATTACTGACAGTATTACTGTCTTCAGTTGGACATATTGATGCTGTCTTATACGTTCAAAACCTTTTTGCTTTTGGTCTGATCTATGGTTCTGACATGTTTTATTGAAGCCCTGTTTGTTAAGTTCTCTGTTGTCATTGTAAACTTTGAGGGTAGATTGGTCCGAGGCTGGAAAACAGACTTGTGTTCGTTAGGGGATTGATCCATTCAGTTATCACCGGGGGGGTTGACAATTTCAAAACATTTAATTGTTAAAAAAATTTTTTCCCTATGGGTGACAGGGTTGACGTGTTATGCTCGACCCACTCAGTCTTCCACCACAAAATGGCCAAAAAGAGTAGAACCAGCTCACCTGCTTTTACACTGATTTGACTTAATGTTCAATGTTTCTTTTGGAGAAAAATATATGTAAAAAGGAATATTTTCACCATATTAAAACGAGAGCTCAGTTCACGTAACAGGGTTGACCTTAAAGGTTTTTGTAACCTTCAAATGAATCATTAATTGCATGAATTAAGTCTTCAGAAATGACTGTCAAAGCAACAAAATAACTATTGCTTAACAATGATGGTGAAAACCTGGAGAAATGTTGGGGTTAAATGGGTTAAAACCTTCCTGGAAGTCGGAGGCTGCACGGAGGTGAATGCTGAATTTTGGCACTTTAGTAAGTCTTTATTCATATTTAAAAAGAATTGGATTTATTGAATTTACCATGTGGTCTATATTAAAGGGCACATTGAAAAGAACAGGCTTTTAAAATTCTATATTGGTGCACCATTTCTACTTTTTGTGGAACGGCCCTACTATCTAGACTCTGAGCATCAGTGCAAAGCCACTAAACCAGTCTTGAGGAGAGTTGTGAGTCTGGATGGATAAATGACTAATCTCCAATGGGAAGCCAATGATTTCACGTGATAAGGTTGTAGGATATAATGAGATTTGATTTGGTGCTCAAGGATACATAATGTTGTAGTAAAACATTTGGTCGGAGATAAGCTGATAGTGTGATGAAGATAAGCTAATTGGTTAGGTGTGTGTGTGTGTGTGTACGTGTGCGAGAGACAGGTAGGAAGATGGAGCGAAAGCTGTTAGTTTAGCTCCTGTGAGCTGACTCCGAGTGTTTCATGTCCAGTCACCATAGATGGTTTTCTCTGCCTACCAGCTCACAAAGGCCTGGGAAAGACAGACAGACATGCTTAAGTGCTGTGCAAGTATGTCTGTCTGCATAGAAGTGACTTTTGAAGAGGTATACCATGGTCTTTCTGGCTGGAGAGCACATGAAAACATCAGTCCTCGTTGGAGAACAGATCTCTACCTCAATACTGTAACCATGGTGACTGACCAATCAAACACTAGGTCTCAATCCCCTCCCACAGATTTAGTTTTGACTGTGGCTTGACTAGTTCAGACTAGGAGGCGATGTTGCTTTATTGGTTAACATTTAAACCGAAATGAGAATGTAATTTTTATGCCAGATGTACTTTCAAGCGATGACACATTGACGTGTTTCTAGTGGAGACAATTTATTTAAAAAAAAACAAATCTGTATTAAGTTTGGAGCTAGTTTTCTACAGTGGCCTCTTTTTAGATATATTTACCTTATGTTAAAGTTTATCTGAACTGTAACTACACCTGAATTATCCAGAAGATCAAAGGTCACGCACTCCAACACGGCTGGGAGTCTGTATTCTCTGTAGTGGACTGTTCTGGTTTTGCCTTGGCGTTAATACTGTGCAGTAGTGAGGTTGAGGACTTCAGAGTGACCCAGGCTGTGTAGACATGGTGTCTGTGTCCTGTGGTAGTGGAGCTGGTTTGGACTGGGTACCTGATCTCTCTGCCGACAGCCAACTGGGGCCAGAATAGGACCGTCATGTTTTTCCTCTGCTGTTGGATGGATCTGCTCACCATCCTCTCTGTCACAGCTCTCAGCAGGATGGATGGAAATCCAATGGCAGAGTGCCACCATTTTAGGACTGTGAAGAGAGACGGGTGCAGATGTCAGAGGTGAATGTCCCCCCCCCTATCTATTCGCTCTCATTCTAGAGGGACCCAGCCTCTTGGACAACCCCCCCCCCCCCCCCCCACCTCAATCTTAGAATTGTGCAGATTTAAATGTCGTTATGTTCAGTGGGAATAGAGAACAGGCCAACTTTTTTTTTTTTTTTGAGCTTGATCTTTTCTCACCCAACCTTTACTCGCTCCGACTCAAATTAACTCCAGCTTTGTGGACAAATGTTACTTCTGCGTTTTGAATTAACCTGTTTTTTGTTTTTTTTTTGCAATCGGATGAAATGTATTATTTGTTATGCTACACTAGACAGCTGGTTTAAGTTGAGATCTTAAAGCCAGAGTTTTAATAAAATAAAGCACGTGTTTGGAACCCGGAGGACAATGAAGGGGCTTGACCCAAACCTGCCTTTTTAGTTAACCCAGCGAGTGTCCAAATATAGGGTTGTATTTGCCATAGCAGGTGAAAAAACTGTGCTTCCAACTTATTTTTGTAATGTGTTCCAAGATCTTAACTACCAGCATGCATCAGTAGGTCACTGGAGGTGAAAATAACTCTCCTCTACATGCCAGCGTCCCCCATATTTAGGGCAGGGTGCTTTGAGTTGGGCTTTTCCCATTGGCTGACCCTGTTAGCCCTCTTGTGTTGCCTCCAATGAGAGCCGTGTCAGTGATGCCTCTGTTGGAACCAGCTGTCATGTTCGCGGTTCAGTTTTTCCTTATGTTCATACTAGTGTTTCTGTAAGACAAAGAATGCACGGATGGAGCTCAGTCCATTGGTTTCACAATAAAAGTTTAAAATGAAGTTGTCTTATTTTTTGTTAAAGACATTTTATATGTTTAAATATAGTATTGGTTTACATTTTTGGTAACTCTGACACCAGTAAAAGTTCTTAAGTTGAGAATTGATTTTGAATGTGTCAACAGTTATTCTTTAGACATGAACCTTGAACAACACCGTTCATTCTTGGTTTAATTAATGCAGGGCAGACACCATCTTGATGCTTAGTGATAACAAGAACACACAATGAGCAGTTCATCTTCTTTAGATCTGAAAATGTACACTTTCTCACAAAAAGCAGTATCCTCTATCTGGTCAACTGCCACAAACATCTGATTACAACAGGCAAGGTAAAGCCAAATTACCCATCTAGTTAACTACAGTAATTTCCTTTGACTTGTTGCACATCAAATATTTGGCTCATTTACGTTTTCTTTTTTTGAACTTGTTCTGAGGACAGCTCGGCCTCGAGGGCAGAATGAATGGTTGGATGAAACCGTAGATATTGCATCTGTCCCATTATGGCGTCTGTGAGCTCACGGGCAGCGCCATTGAGGCCATCTCCATTTTGAAGTAGTCAATTTTCTTCTATGAGTTGGCAAACAAACTGAAAGGGTGCACTCTGCCACCTAGAGTGTTTGAACAGGCATAAAGCCAAGGTTGGTGATCTACTGCCACCTGCAGTTATGGAATGTTTCCTCACAAGTATAATTAATTGGCTGATCCCTCCTGATGACCTGGATGGAATTATGTGATCCTTCCTTAACCCATAGGAAGTCCCACCCAGCTGACTACTTCAAAATGGTGAAAGGCCTCAATGGCGCCGCCCATGCTAAAACTGGCTTTTGGGCACTAGAGTCCTCTATCTATCTCTATGGATGAAACCATGACAGTACGTGGGCGGAGTATACAGGTGAGTCAAATAAAAAAAGGTCTTATGGGTGGATGGTTAAAGGGCGTGACACGTAGGGTTGCTAGTTCGAATACCAATGAGACTTTTGTTTTCCAACATACTTATAACTAATCATATTTATAATCTAACAGTCTAAATGACTGACTGAACAGCTTTAAATATGTGAAAAAACAAGAGTGGTACCCTACCCCCTTTTGGTGCAGTGAGCTAGGGACCAGAAGGTCACAGGTTCTAATCTTGATGATGCCAGAGGTTTAAAGCCTGGTGTGTGTTTGGTTTTTTAACCCTAAACTTAACCAATCACATTTGTTTCTGCCCTCAGAATTAGATCAAAGGAAAACTCCAATCTGTAATAGAGTAAATGTTATTCTGCCTAAGTACAACATGAAATTCTCTGTCGGGTGTTATGGAAATTAGAGTTACAATGATTGATTATTTGCGTCATAGTGTAGGACTACTCATCACATCTGACTACAAGACTGTATGCATTTCCAACAAAACAAGGACACAATGACAACCAATTGTTAATGAAGAATACAAACCAAAACAAAGCCAATACTATATTTGTTAGGCACGGAGTTGTTAAGCTAATATGATACAACAGAACTGATAAATCAAGCTCAAAGAAAATATGTTACAATAAAATTGAAGAGACACAAGAACACTTAAAGAGAACACAAAGAAAACATGGGTAACTTTATTTTAAGGGTCCATAATAAACTATAATTTATTTATAAACCATTTATAAGGCATTTATTAACAGTACACTCATTTTTTATTAATCATAGTTTATTCACAAATGTATATATTTCCTTAAATATCTTATTATTTTACCAGGTACTGCTGGAATGTACCAATGTCATACCCATCTTTACACTGGTCACTCTAAACATTTATAAAGTATAAATAGCGCTCACTTTAGATTAGGGACTGCAAAAAGACAACTCATGTTTAGTAAATGGGTTATAAATGTGGGAGTCATAATTAATAAATGGTGAACACACTTTATAAATGCCTTAAATGTTTTATTATGGACTATTAAAATAGTGTTACCAAAACATGCATTACAGTTTGCTGAACATGGTTCAGAGTATTTGATGTGTCATAAGCACAATGCCGTGTAGAGGCGTTACGTTTTGCCCACGTCCGGGGCCACACTGACACACAGTGCCAGAGAGAAGGTTCTTCGTTACAAAACAAAACTTTTTTTTAACCGACCCACTGCATATTTCAGGCAGCATTTTACCCATTTAATTTCACCTAGCAGGCCACTTGGGTTCAACCCAGTCTAGGCTATTCTCCATCCCCAAAAAGTCAGAATACCTCACGAAAGAGGTGTCTAAAATCATAATCAAATGACGTCCGGAATTTCTCATTCAGTATTATAGTTCAAAATTCACCAGCTATACATAAACAGCTTTACATTAATCGATTACACACCTACGTATATATGTACAGGTATATAATCCTAAATTAATGATACAATTTGTATCAACAGAGAAAGGCTTTCTCTGTCTACCATGGATTGTGCCGGTAACTGTAACAGATTGTATACATCAAGCTAAGCGCTCTGAGCCCTTTCCATAGGTCTTCAGGGAAAACAACCAAAGGGAATTTACTTGGGATTTGAGCTTGAGTCTAGTGTGTCTGTAGCAGCTGCAAGCTTGGACCCAAAACGAGGGGCCAGAGACGTCCCTTACTAAAACGAAGGTACACAACAAGACAAGGTCGACCAATGTGCCCGTCTCTACAACTACGGCAAGATACTTACGGACATTCTCTCAACTGAGAAGACTAACTCAGCCACCTATTATCACAACAACAACAACAACAACAACAACAACAGGCACAAACAGAACACACAGCACTAAAAAAGAGAGGATTTTAAAGTTGATGCCCAATTGAACACAGAAGATATACTCATTTTGCATATTCCCCAACAACCAAGATTCTGTTGATAAATTGTCATCAATTTGGGGGTGAATGATTACAAATGGAGTAGAAAATGTAGCATAGAAGTAAGATTAGGCATATAATCAGATCCAAATTGATTTTTAAAATGTTTCAGATTTGATAAACAGCGGAGAAAAAGTGCTTTGTGAATCAATGCATATCCTCACCTGCACATGATTAACACTAAATGATCCACAAACAACTCTACAGTCAAACAAATTCAAACCCTTATACTGTCAAAACTACAACTAACTGTTGTCATGAATAGGGAGATAGAGTAGTAGGCTAGCTGGACTCAGTAGCCGGCCTGGGACTTCTCAGCCAGGATGGCGGCAGCTAGCTGCTGGGCGTCTGTCACATGGGGGTTCCTCCCCATAACCCGGCCCACCAGCTCAGAGGGGAAGATGTTACACAGGTTGAGGTAGACCTTCTCCCGCACCTCCCCGTAGCGGCTCAGGGCGGGGGGCTCCTGGTGCGTGTGGTGGGGGGGCATGGATGGGTGGGATGGCTGAGGGGCATGGGATTGGTGAGGGGGCTGAGAGGAGTGAGGGGGGTAGAGTGGGTGGTAAGAGAGTGTGGTCTGTCCCCAGCCTACATCGTGGCTCTCTGGTAGACTCTGGTAGGTCTCATAGCAGGGCTGAGGGGGTTGGCTGCAGTAGAGATCCCAGGAGAAGGCTTTCCTGGGGGGCAGCGGGGAGCGTTCGTACAGCCGGGAGTCTGACAGCGTCTCCAGCCGCGTGTTGGCCAGGCAGCGGCCCAGAGGGGAGCCAGGAGGGTAGGAGCTGGACTGGGACACAGAGGGGTAGTCTCCAGGGCAGCTGGAGCGGGCGCCTACGGCCTGGTGCTGGAGGGGAGGGGGGACGGGGTACAGGTGGGGGTCAGGGGGCTCGTCGTGGGGGAAGCTGTGCCCCCGTGCCAGGCTCTGGTGATAGCCATGGAGGGCAGAGGTGGGGGTGTGTGTGTGGGCGTAGTGGGAGGGGTGGGGGTGGTGTGGTTCGAGCAGGGGGGCAGAGTGTTGAGAGTACAGGCGGTTGTGTTGATGATGATGGTGTTGATAGTATTGATGATGCTGATGGTGGATGTATTTGTCCAGCTGGGGGTCTGGGCAGCACAGACAGGAGGCTCTCTCTCTGTACGAGTCACAGCTGCTGCTGCCACAGTCTGATGAGCCCAGCAGACGCAGGTCTGTGTCCAGCGGGAAGCGGCATTCCGGACTCCTCCGTGCTGCCAGGCCGGAGTGGGCCGGCGTCACTGAGTAGTAGCTGAGATCTGGAGGGTCACAGCTGGAGGAGTAGGGGTCAGGGTGGGGGTGGGGGGCCGGCAGGGTTATGTGGGGTGTGTCCCTGCCCAGGCTCGGTGGCTGGTCCTGGGGGTAGCTGAGGGCAGAGGAGGGGGGTCCTCCAGGGGCAGGAGACAGAGTAACACTCCCACTACAACAACTACTCCCACTACTACTACTGAGGCTGTTCTTGCATTTCTCAGCGTGTCTCAGCTTGTCCTCTGCCTCGCCGTAGGACAGTGCCCGAATGCTGGGGGCAGAACCTCTCTTGGTGCCCACCGCTACATTATTGGGCTCGCTGTGGCTCTTCACCAGCCCGGCCTCGCCACCCTGGCCTTTGGTACTAGTAGAGGTGTCAGAGGTCTTGGCGCTGGCACGCAGCTCGTCTGCCACCGAGCGCTGGCACTGGGCACTCCTCTCCGGGTGGTAGTACTTACACTTGTGGCCGTAAGTGCACTTCTTGCCTAAAGAAAGGGGGAGAAAGGATAGGGTACTGGTTAACACACAGGCTAGTGATGATGTGGCAGTGGTTAACTTATAAAGTAGCAAACCAATGCATCTTCAGCACCAGCTGAATAAGAAATGATTAATTCACATTATAACACTGTGAGCACTTCATCGTGAACATAAACACATACTAAAGAGTTAATAATAATGGAGGGGCCCACCGTAAGGACAGGGCTGCTTCCTGTGCTCTGGCATGATGGGACGTTTCCTCAGGAAGTTCTCCAGACTGGGACCATGACGACCTAGAGGGTCATCAGGTGGCATGAACCTGGGAGGGGAGGGGAGGAGAGAGGGAGGGAGGGAAGGGAAGGGAGGGGAGGGGAGGGGAGGAGGAGAGGGAGGGAGGGGAGGAGAGAGGGGAAGGGAGGGAGGAGAGAGGGAGGAGAGAGAGGGAGGGAGGGGAGGAGAGAGGGAGGAAGGGAAGGGAAGAGAGAGGGAGAGAGGGGAGGAGAGAGAGGGAAGAGAGAGGGAGGGGGAGGGGAGGAGAGAGGGAGGAAGGGAAGGGAGGGGAGGACAGAGGGAGGGAGTGAAGGGAGGGGAGGAGAGAGAGGGAAGAGAGTGGGAGGAGAGGGGAGGAGAGAGGGATGGGAAGAGAGAGAGAGAGAGAGAAAGAGAGAGGGGGGAGAGGGGAGAGGGGAGAGGGGAGAGAGGAGGGGAGGGGAGGGGAGAGAGGGAGAGCGAGAGGGAGGGAGGAAGAGGAAGGGAGAGAGAGGGAGGGGAGGGAGAGAGAGAGAGGGAGGGAGGGGAGGAAAGAGAGCGAGAGAGAGAGGGAGGGAGTGGTAGAGAGAGATTATTAACATATTAACATATTTAATCCTATACAGCCAAGTATTAGCATAATGAGCATCATACCACTTCTAGGCTAAAGAAGATGAACACTAAGCCGGAGCCGTATCACTCCTTCCTTACTTGTCGTTGACGAACGAGTACATGAGCAGCCGCTCGTCAATTAACTTCTTCCACTCTGGCTTCTCACTGGCCAGGTCGCGGTAGTTGTCGTTGGAGACGATGATGCCGTCGGACTCATAGGCCAGCTTGACGATGAAGCGGTCATCATAGCAGACCACCCGGCGACCCTGGACACGACGAGATGGCGTGAACACCAAGATCTTGTCCTTCTCCAGACGACGTAAGATATCCTGGTCTAGAGAGAGCGAGAGAGAGAGAGAATTGGAGAAACGTGTAATCCAGTGAGCACTGAGGCCCATCTGACATATGTAGGTGAACTCTCAGGTGTGTGTGTTTCTGTGTGTTTACCTGTGATGAGGGCATCAGGGCGGGACTGCTCTTTCTTCCAGGAGGGCACAAACACTGTGATGTCACGGTGACCTCGCTCCAGGAACCAATCAACAGCCAGCTGGATGCCGTAGCAGGAGAACACCTCCTTATTGCCGTGGCTACAAGAGACAGATGTTAACTACCTTACAAGCTCTAACATCATATCAACAATATGTAGGTGACTTTGACAACAGTTACACAAGTACCTTTCCATAGACCAAGCAACGGGCTACAATGGAGGAAATAGGCATTGTGTGTTTTCTGTAATCAAGAAGTATGGTTCATAGACCCGCACCTCATTGCCACGTTGCTACCGTCCAGGACGATGGGCCGCAGGTTGTCCTTGTCCCCCAGGAGGAGGTCTGTCTGATAGGGGGAGTCTGACCTCCCCTGCTGCGCCTCCAGATACCCACAGGTAGAAGAGGAGGAAGATGAGGAGCAGGAGGACGAGGAGGCGGGCTGTGAAGCCGTGGACCCAGTCAGCTGTTGGTTCGTCTCGGCCTTACTGCCCAGTTTGACCAGCTCTCCCAGTATGTCGTTGATGAGCGTGTCCTGCCCCAGCTTGGCCAGCACCAGCCGCACAAGCTCCTCGGTGTAGCCCAGCTTCAGGGCAAACTCCAGCTTGGACTGGTACTCCCTCAGGGCTTCCCCGGGTGAAGGCTCCCCCGACGGAGGTTCCGGAGGCCCCTCGGACCCCAGGTCCACACAGGGAGTCCTGCACAGTGGCTGGTGGGGTTTGGTGGTGTTGGGAACAAGCACACCTCCATCTGACTCTGAAATGGACACTCCTCCAGCCGGGTTAGAACCGGTGCTGTTTCGGCCTGGCTCCGGCTCACTGTCGGACCCAGCGCTCTCCTCCTCCCCCACCACCTCCCCCTCCTTCCCCCCAGGCGTGGACAAGCTGCTATTGCTGCTTCTATCGCAGGCCTCTTCCTCCTCCTCTCCCCGCTCCATACTGGGCCCTGTGTCAGAGCCAGCCTGCCTGCTGTCGGAGCCTTCGATGTGGAGGTACTCTAAATCTAGCCCCAGGTCAAGGATGCGGCCTGCTCCATCCTCCTCCGGATGGTCCTTCAGGCCCATTAATCTGTCACAAACATCCAGCTCTGGGCTGAGGCCTGACCCGGAGGACCACTCCCACCACTTCTACCCCCGTCTTACCGTGTCCACGTCATGAGTGCCTGAGAGAGAGAGACAGAGAAAGAGGTAAAAGAGCGAGTTAAATGGATGGTTCAAAAGGATTGGAAGAGTATTTCAGTGCGTAAAGCCAAAAGACTAGTTTTGAGTTCCATTAGACAAGGCTTGACTTGAAAAACAATAGGAGGGAATCCATGCTCATAAAATGTCTGGTTAAAGTTAGAATCTCACGAGACATACATCTCATACACACCTCTGGTGTCACTAAACTAATGAGAAACTTCAACAGGCTTGACTCTATCAACACCTGGGCGATTCATTTCTTGGCTTTAGTGAGGATAGGTAGACGGAGCTGTGAGCGTCACGAGAGAGAGAGAGAGAGAGAGAGAGAAAGAGAGAGAGAGAATAATTGAATATATCAAACTAATGATTCTTCATAAACCAATATTTGACACTTTTGGACAAATTGTACTGCAATAAATACAGGACTTAACATATGCTCTGCGACAGACTGCTGTCTTAGGAAACATATGGGAAGTATTGTATGTTATCATAGTAAAATAAGGCCATGTCTAGGCTACTCAAACACTGAACCTAATTTGGTTGTGTTGGATGTGACTAGCTGACCTGAGCCAAGATCCCCAGCAGGGCACAGATTGGCTGAGACAAAGAGGGGTGCTTTCCTGGGGGGGGGCCCCTGTCCTAATTAAGGAGTTCCCGCTCATTTAGAGGGGCCAGCCAAGGCATGCCGCCTCCCACCCAGCCCACGTCACAACACATCTATCTCAGGGGGAACAGAGGATGCTCTGTTTAAACACACATAGCCGTTATGTGTTGGGCTAAGGCCTGACTCCCCCCGTGCTTCAGGAGCATATGGTCCCTCCCCTGGGGAAGAGTCACAACTTTTTGAACACAAAAGGGACATGAAGTAAATCAATAGAGACACTCAGGCCTCAATGGTAACCAATAGGGTGGCAGAATTTGATCACTTGCAAGTTGCAATGAGGAAATAATATTAGGTCTGTTCCTCAAAGATAAGGCACCATGGTACTTGGGGTCAATTCCATTTCAGTCCAGTCATTTCAGGAGTCATTCAGCATTGAAATACCAATTAAATGGAAAAATCCTCACTTAAAATAAACTGCTATTTTAAATTCTTGAACAGGGGTTTCAATAGATCTCTTGTATTGTGAGTGAACTGAAATGGATTTCAAGACACCAACCCGGATGGGCACATTAACAACAGCATATTATAATATCACAAGAAATAACACTCAGTATATAGCCTACATTATCATCATTTAGTAATAACTGTGCAACAATGTGGTTACCGGGCATCATCACGTTAGCAGATCCACCTGTTGAGTCTGCAGCCTGTAGCCTTTTAAAGGTTAGCCTAAAACCTCATCCAAATGTTTTAATGTCTGCTAAAATGTAACATCCCTTTAAAGGTGTCATGGTGGGGGTGGGAGGATGGGAGAGTGGCAGGAGTGTGCGCATTGTATGAAAGAGAGCTGCTTAGCAACATGGCCCAGGGTTGCCAGGCTGCAGCGGTTTAAAGAATGTCCCTTAAAGAATGCCAAGACAGAGCCAGAGCTGGAATAATTTAGTCCTTTGTGCACAAAGGAAGACCCGGGGAAGAGGGGTGTCTGACTAACGGTCCCCAACAATACAACTGCCAGTTGCACTCTGGATCACCTCCGCTGCAGCCATTGTTGGGTTGGTGCTCTGAGCGCCCGGCCGCCTGTACACAGCCGCACACACAGAAGGAGACTGGGTTGTGTTCTCTAGGTGACGAGCCTCTCTAAGCAGGCCTGGGTGAGTAACAGTCCTCCTGATGGGATGCAGAACATGCAGTGGAGGATGCCTTAGCTTAGCATCTCTCACCGTATGTTCTCCCAAGGACTCATGATGACCTAGCTACCTGTTAAGGAGAGAGATGGATGGCAGAGATTTGAAAAAGACTTTGGCCACAAATAGAGCAGGGAGAGAGGCTTTCAGTGTCTCTCTCTCTTCATCACCCCAGAGGCTCGCAGAAGCTGCTTCAGACATGCAGATAATACAATGTCGGCTAAAAACCAAAACGCCATTACAGAAACGTTATGTCATGTAGCCTACAACCTTTTCCTCTGAATAATGTAGCTCATTTGCATAACTATCAAACTGTGTGGCCTATGATGTCATGCCTTGTTCGACAGCCGCCAGGCTCAACTGCCGTTTGATTCGATATGGCATCTTTCAAACATCAGCCCAGAGTCCCCCATCCTAGTATTGGCGGTGCATTCATTGATTAAAGCACTGAAGCAGTAGGCTTATGAATATGTAACACATGGCTTTAGGCTGGGAGGACAGCGGTGTGTGGGATGGGGGGGGTCTGGGTGTTCCCTCCTTGGTTCTGGTGTTGGTGGGGAAGGGCTGCTGTCTGCAGAGTTGAATTATTTCCAAAGAAAAGGAAGGGTTAGACTAGTTCAGCACTGTCTGGGAGGGATGGAGGGGGCGGAAGGCTTTGCTGCCATTAGCCAGGGCAACAGATGTCTTCTGGAACCACAGGGGAAAGAGAGCAACTTCTGGTCCTCCCTCTCTCTCTCTCCCTCTCTCTCCCTCTCCCGCTCCGCGTAGCACACTCAATGGAGCACGCTGCTTCCACCCCGCCAGACAGAGTCACATGACACTAAAAGGGAGAACCTTCTCTTCTTCATTCTAAAAAAATCACAACATTGTCCCTTCCCCATCTCATCAGCAACACATCACTCATACTCCACCACCCAGCCAGTAAGAATGTTTCTAGTATCCTTCATCTCAGTGGGCCAGTTTTTCCAGTCATGCTCGTCCAAAAGGTATTTTGAAGCAGAGCAATAAACAAATAATTTACCTGAATTTTAAAACCAAAAACTATTATCAAACTGGCCAAGTCTCCAATAGTCTCTTAGAATTTAGAACTAGGCCTAAACCGTAGACATGAAGCTTAGTTTGATTCTCATTCACCTTCGGAGAGATTATTCTCCTCAGCGAAAGTAAGAGCAAACAACTGTACTCCACAATAACCTAATTGGCTGAGTGAAAAGAAAGAAGCCTCACAGCTGTAATCACTGCCAAAGGTGCTTCTACAAAATATTGACTCAGGGGTGTTAATACTTCTGTAAATTAGATCTCTTTATTTCATTTTCAATAAATGTGTAAACTTTTCTAAAAACGTGCTTTCACTTTGTCATTATGGGATATCGTGTGTAGATGGGTGAGATTTTTTTTGTATATTTAATCCATTTTGAATTCAGGCTGTAACAACAACATTTGGAATAAGTCAAGGAGTATGAATACTGTCTGAAGGCCTTGTATCTAGGTCAAATTCAGACTATCCTAATAGATTATCATTTTCAGTATGAAGTGTAGCATAACCTCCTCATGATTTTTATTTTTCACAAAACTAGAATAAACTAAATGGTGAAACAAAAGTGTGCACAGTCAGTGTCTTATAACATACATCCTCTCATGCTAAAAGTCCCTTAAAGAGGCTGTGAAAAGGCATTGCCCCAAAGCCCTGTGAGAAAGAGCAACCTGTCACACAGGTGCGGTGAGACAATGTGTTCAAAGGTGACCACTCCACTGGTGAAGAGACGTGCCCTTGATCAAACATAAATCACCACACACTCCAAGGAAAAATAACACATGAAGGCCTAATTGGGTACAGCTAAATACTAACATATTCCATGTCATTACAAATGCTCATGGCAACTTGTTTTCTTCAGACTGTTATAGTTCTGTCAGAAGACATTTGACATAAGCCTATTGAAATTCTGCATTGAAACAGAAAACATGGTTTGATGGGAAGGCTAGCCTAAATAGTTAGGCTTAATATCTCCACTTACCCCTAACCTCAGGAGAACATCCAACGGCCAAACAAAGCAAACCTCCTTAGTAAAATGTCCTTAAGGAAATAACTTGGTTCATTCCAGCATTAGAAAAAGCCTTCAGAAGTTCATAGATCCCTGCTCTCAACAGATGTGAGCAAAACATTTAGTATTTCACATTCCACACGCTTCCTACTCTTCAAACCCAAAATCCAAGGATAGTGTGTTTACCATAAGGCACTGTTTTTTCCAAGCCAGCCAGGCAGGTTGAACAATGAGTTGCTCAACAGATGGAGCTACAATGTCGACCATTCCTCGGTTAGACACTGGCTGCCTGGCTCCACCAATGGGAGTGCAGTGACCTCACAATGAGACACACAAACGCAGGCGGGCAGATGCATATGAACCCAGTTTCCTCAAGGCACGCGTACACAGAGACACACATACACACACACACACACACACACACACACACACACACACACACACACACACACACACACACACACACACACACAAAACACACACACACAGCCCGTCACTCTGAAAGGGTCTTCCCCTGTGTGACTAATGAATCAACGAGGGGGTGCATGGTCAATAATAGAGGCAAACAAAGGGAGCCATGCAGGCAGCTGCAACATGAGGCCAGCGCTACTAGAGTGAGGAACACCTGGCTAGCTGGGGAACTGCAGCCACTCTAACCCCTTTGTTTTTGGCTTGGGGTGAGGGTCAGGGTTACACACTTCTATTGAGGTAAATCATGTTAAAAGCACTGCATGTCCTTACAGAGAATGCAAGAGGAGAGGAGAGAGTCGCAGTGGGGTGAAAGGGGATAGGATGTGCATGTAGAGTCGGCCGGGGGACACACATCAAAAGCTTTATGCCTAAATAAGTATGAAAAGGGGGATCTCTTTATTGTTGCGGGCGTCACACTTTAAGGGAAATTACTTGGAAGCACAAATAATGAGTTTAGTTCCTAAACTTTCAGTTGGGATAAACACTGCATGTATTTAGGCAAGAGAAAACAAAGGCTAGTTTAAATGGAGTTGGTGGCGCTGGACATAACTTTTTTTATAAACAAAAGTGCAGGTAGCGGCA